GAGGCAGGAAGGTAAAGGGTAGAGGTGTGGGAGAGCGAGATGAAAGGAGACAGCTAGGGAGGAGAGGGGCAGGAGGGGGAAGGGTAGAGGTGTGGGAGAGCGAGATGAAAGGAGACAGCTAGGGAGGAGAGGGGCAGGAGGGGGAAGGGTAGAGGTGTGGGAGAGCGAGATGAAAGGAGACAGCTAGGGAGGAGAGGGGCAGGAGGGGGAAGGGTAGAGGTGTGGGAGAGCGAGATGAAAGGAGACAGGCAGGAGAGGGGCAGGAGGGGAAAGGTAGAGATGTGGGAGAGCGAGATGAAAGGAGACAGGGAGGAGAGGGGCAGGAGGGGAAAGGTAGAGGTGTGGGAGAGCGAGATGAAAGGAGACAGGGAGGAGAGAGGCAGGAGGGGGAAGGTAGAGGTGTGGGAGAGCGAGATGAAAGGAGGCAGGCAGGAGAGGGGCAGGAGGGAAAGGGTAGAGATGTGGGAGAGCGAGATGAAAGGAGACAGGCAGGAGAGAGGCAGGAGGGGGGAAGGGTAGAGGTGTGGGAGAGCGAGATAAAATGAGACAGGCAGGAGAGGGGCAAGAGGGGAAGGGTAGATGTGTGGGAGAGCGAGATGAAAGGAGACAGTGAGGAGAGAGGCAGGAGGGGGGAAGGATAGATGTGTGGGAGAGCGAGATGAAATGAGACAGGCAGGAGAGAGGCAGGAGGGGAAAAGGTAGAGGTGTGGGAGAGCGAGGAAGAGGCAGAGGGGATGAACAGAGAGTGGGCGGGCGAGACACGATAGAAGGAAAAAGGGAGAAGATGAAAGAGAAGGAAATGGATAGCCATCGTGACAAGGAAAGATAGTGGGAGAGGAAAGAGAGCGCGCACGATAAACTATTTATATTCTTAGACGCCGAGCTCAAACGTATTAGTAGAAACCCATAAACGCAAAACCTCTTGCATCCGGCACAAAAACCCAGTAAAACTGGGGAACGCAGTATTATTGCAACGGATATTTTCAATAGAAAATATCTTTACGATGTTTTATCTCTACTAAGAACTTCGTCTAAAACATACTGCGCGTGCGTTAAGCTAATTATATATATATACATACACACATATACATATATATACATATATATATATATAAACATATATATATATATATATATATATAT